GAGCGTTTTATATTAGAAATAGGCTGGATTGTTTAGGCATCTTTCGGGAAATCGTAACATTTTCTTCACTACATAAATAATGTTTATTTTTATTAATACATAATATATATATATTTAATTATTAATGAAAATAAACATTATTTATGTAGCAAAGAAAATATTACTATTTTCTGAGAGGTGCCTCAACAACCCAGCCTATTTCTTATATAAAACGCTCCTGCGCCAGAGCTATCGGCGGCTCGGCCGCCAGCGGCCGAGCGGTAGTGGGGGAACAGGAGGCGTCGTCTCGGGAATCGGCCCGAAATGTGCAACTAATTCCGAGCGCTGATATAGGAAAAGTAACTGCATACATTACGTACAATAATTAAGGGATCAAGAAAGTTACAAAAATGGCAATTTTTAAAGCATTGTAACTCCGCGAAAAATCATCATATTTTAATTCGGAAAAAGTATTATAAAGCTTGAAATTTCATCTTTCAAGTACTTTTTGTGGATTTTAATTATCCTTTTTTTTACAAAACGGCGTAATACAGTTTGATCCGTCAAAATGAAAATTTGTAATGTGACTTTGCAACGTTACACTTGGCATGAAAAAAATTGCTAAAAATTTCTGTTTATTGCATCTTGTAACGGGATCTTTTAGTTTGAGTGATTGTTGATCGTTATGCGATTTTTTTTGACCGATTTTTTATTTAAACAATTTCTATTATTTTTTTATTACTATAAGAATTATTGCGTTACTTTTTAAGCAAAAAAATGAGAAAATTTTTATAAATGAAAATATTGTTAACATTAGCTTTACCGAAAGCGCACATAGGTTGTACAATCGGTTTTACGTGGTGTGCTTTGGGTAAAGTAAATATCGATATTTTCATTAAAAACTTTTTATATTTTTTATTTAAAAAGTAGTTCAATAACTCTTATAATGGAAAAAATAATAGAAATGGTTTTTAAAAATTTTTTATTTATTTTTTGCGATAGAGCAGAAATTTTTCCTTTAGTTTTCAGCAATTTTTACTGATTCAAGTACGATGATCACATGAAAAAAATATTTAGCTTATAAACGTTATTGTTCATTATTGAGGTATAACTGGACCAAAACATTTTGTTTTAGTGATTTAGATTAATCCTTCCTTTACAACAATATACCGAGTTAAGAGTCGACAAGAATGACAGCCCGAGTCCGCACTGAATTTTGATGACCATGCACAGAAACTCCGGACAAAGACAGACACTTGCTTGTCTCTCCTGTAAATTCTCTTTAGACGTCTTGCGGCAGAAGATAGTAGCGTAGTCAAGCTAGCGAGTGCTTTCTTATCATACATTTCATATTTACGTATGCATATATGTGTATGTATGTATATAAATTGTTGAGAAATATTACGTGCATATTAATAACATATTGATTAATAATAATTCTAAAATATACAGAAGAATAGAATTTATTATCAATAAGATATAGGTGCTTGATAGAGTTGCGTTTTTACTTATTCTATCACATACAGAATGATCAAAGCATAACATTGATTGAAAAGATTCTTTTGCTACAATTTTAGAAGAAACAAATAAAAAGCTAAAATAATTATATATAAACATGAACATACACACGTAATAATGCAACTTGACTTTATTTTTGAGAAAATAATTATTAAATTTATGTGATTAAAGCATATTTTTTATAGTACTTAAAATCACACAAATGCTTCGTAAACGTTAAGAGCTTGATATATAATAAAATTCAATATAGATATAAATTTTAATTAATTTTGAGAATCAAGATTAATTTAATTTTTAAAAATTAAGGTTGTTTTTTTTTG